GCGAAATTGATTAGCTGATTGAACTCTTCTGTATTGGGTCTATTCCCTAAACTCTAGTTGGAAAATGCCAATGACTTTATTGAGAGTAACTAATAATGAACACTGTCAGTAGAAGTTATTCCTTTCGTTCCTAAATTATTGTTTGGCATCAAGACACACAACATAACATAATAAGGGATCACATAATAAGGGATGCCATTGAGATTCTTGTCATTCGTCTATTGGGTATCATGATAATTGCAGTGTCCAATCAAAATCGATCACCACTTACCATTTTTTTTATTTATCTAACGTTGTGTGAGTAAACAGCAACAGTATAAGTGTAAATATATTATTACAAGTGCTATTTGACTTATTTTTTGTACTTCCAGGTAATTTAAATAACACGTACGATGCTGATCAAGAGGTACTGTTTGTGGTATCAAATCTGTCATCTCCAATCTCATCCAAATGGACCATACTACTGGGATCAGGCTGCATTTATCTGTCATTCAGCCAATCACTACTGTTTTCTTACTGCAGACCACCGATGTCGCCGTCTTCTCACACTTGTAAGTCTTCAGATCACGTAGACCGCCGTCAGTTTTCCGTCGCCGAGCAAATAGAAACTGTCTCCGCTGCATTTTTTCAACAGGAAGTTGCAGAGCTTGTCGTAATTAATAACTGTGCGGAGGAATCCACTTCTGCTTGAGTGGCTTCTAGACGTTCAAAACTTGTGGGAAATGTGATCCAGACAGTGATACACTAGCTGGCTTTCTTGTTGGGTTAACAGGATTTCAACCGCACTGAAAATAATTCAGACTAGATCATTACGAGAGGAAGTAATTTAATTTAATCTCCATCCGTAGATTTACTAAGATGGTGTATAACAATAATGAATTTTCGTGAATGGCTTCAACTATTTACCTTTATTTGGGATACTGAAGTATACATCCCATATGGACCAGCTATTGCCAATTACTAATTCAAAAATAACACATTTCTGTAAGCCATTCTCAGCCTGCTAGTGTCTAAAATTAAATGTTATAACTTATTTTTTTTACTGAGATAATTAAAGGGTTGTAAAAGATGCTGTAGCCAACAATAAGTTTTCTGATGAGTCTGATGAGACTTTTGGTTTAAAAGTCTGCATATTCGACAGACATCAGTAATTTCGTCACCAAGATCCGTCGGTTGCTCGCCTCATCTACGTCCGTTTTGGTCAAAAAACTATGACAACTTAAAGATGGAGATGGAGTCTCTAGTTCTATAAATAGTCAGAGCTTCAACTACTGTATGTTCTTTTCAAATAAATTGGCAGCACCTGGTCCATATTTGTTGTCGCTCACATCCTAGGATGGCAGCTCTAGCCTGGAGAAGCTTTACACATTATTTCAGAATAGGCATAGATTGTTGGGGGATTATCATTTGGATAAAATCCATTGGTGATTGCCGGGATTTGAACCAGGGATTTCTGGGACCGACCTACCGTGTTCACTAGATCAGCTTACTCCTCAACCTCTGGTCGACGATGACATTTCTTATTGACAAATCCATGCTATAAAAAACTATGTCCATAAGGGTCGGTTTCTATTTAAACTCTTAGTTGAACTATTTATTTAATGCCTAGCGTTAGCACTTGTAACAGTGTTGGTAAGATACGCACGGTAATCAATAGTTAATTTTCTCCTGAAAGGGAAGAAACCAATTTAGCTGCCTGAACCTAAGGGATAGGTGTAAAACACGTGATTGTTCTCATTAGAAACAGCTGAGAAAGAATCTATAGAATGTTGTCAGAAGAACACCAGCGAATTTATTCAATCAACAGCTGGTTCATAGATGTGATGTCATGTGTACACCCTCCTTCAATAAGATAGACATACTTTGACAGTTCTATATGATACAACAGGCCTTGTGGTGGAGCGTAGGCCGACCCCAATATCTTGAACGGTTCCATGTTCAATTACGTTTTGAGATATCGAGGACAAATTTGTCGTGGGTAGTGCTAACTACCTAGCAGCTGATTAGCTGCCACCTCATGTTGATAACTTGGTCGAGACTTCAGGTGATGAATTCGCACTCTTCGCCCAACGACGGTTTGTTCTCAACAGAAAATTTTAATTGATAATTTATTTTGCATAATGACAATTTGAAGTACATAGCACAATTTTTACCCCATAAATCCTCATCTTCGTATTTCGGTCATGCTTATTCGCGAACACGTTCAAATAAACACACGTTTTCCCATATATCGAATTAAGAACAATTTAACTCTTTTTACCGTTCTAACGGACACATATTATGTAAGTTTATTGTATACAAATATTTATTTATTTTATTGGTTGGGTTTTTTCGCTGCTGCTAATTACATTAAGACGAAAAAGTAAATCAGTCCCGGGCCTTACTATGAGACCTACAATAGCTTATTCCTTATATGGAAAATTCGCTAAAAAACATAAAAACCGTTGTCTATCGCGTATAACGACCTCTCCTCTCTTGTTAACTCCAATCACAAAGTATGTCTCGGAGTTCTATCGGTCAACCGGGACAAGAATACCGCGACAATCGCTCAGTGAACCAAACTGGTTTCTTTCGTCGCAATGTGGACAGTTACTGTAGATATAGGGTCATACGTCTGATGGTAAATGGACCAGGCGAGAAGCTAAAGTAGTTTTATAGTCATTCCTTTGCGATGGAAAATCATTTGGGCAACAGAGAAACTAGTGAAGAAGTTCATTGCCATAATTACGTGACACCCTAGATGTTTATACCCAAATATGATGGAGGATGAGAGTAGAATGGAGTGAGATGATCTGTGTAGCTTTTACTGATCAGCTGGTTTAGTGCCAGAGCCATTTATTAAAAGTCACTGATCAAGGTCAGATGGGTCCAATTTCGAACCATCAAAAAGGTACTTACTTTTTTCAGGATCGAGCCGGTGACGTTTTTTTACACTGAGTACTAAATATTCAGCTGGTCAGCTATAAATAGTTGCCTTGTATCTGTATAAGAACCGGCAAGAGTAGAAACACTCTTTTAGTTGAAAAGGTGATCAGCTTTCTTCTGTTATGCTTTAACAGAAAGGCAATTGTCTTTCTGTTAAATAATTCAAAACAGAGAGAGTTTTGGGAGTGTCCTAATTGGAGAGGTATTCGGGTCTTAATAATAGGGAGGTGTTAAATACACAGTCAGGAGATACATTTGTTTTTAATGCATATTGGGTCTCAAAAAAATTTTTTTTTTCCTAAAGAGGGTGGATTATTTCCCTTGAAATACTTACCGTTTGTATCCTAATCCTGTATGTTTTGAATGCATCTTGAATTTGATAAATGATATGAAATAAAGTTTCTGATTCATAAATTATTAGGCCTACGTCATCAGCTCATTTGTATCGAACTTCATAAAGTAAATTATTTACATACAGAACAATCTCATAGGTTTATTACAAATTGAAAGCGTTAACCCGTGTTTCTTCGAAAACTAGCTTATTCCACCCATTAATTCAACAGAAGACATATTGGTCTGTAATTTTCAATTTTGTCCACGATATAAATTACACCTACCTACTGTCTTGGACCTCTTGATTGTTTTACCCAAATTAAGATGTATGGACAACGAATTAGTAGGACCGCCTTGGGCGTCTAGCAGGTTCTTCGGCGTTGATAAAAACTCCGAGAAAAAGCGACGATCTCGTAATACATAAATTAATCAACGGAAGATTGCAGCGGAGTCGAAAATTGATTTCAGCCCCGGGGGCAGCATTTAGGACTAGCCTCATTTGACGTGGTTTTCCAAGATGGCGTTAAAATTTACAATTCAATCAGAGCCAATAGCATAGAGCTGTCAGTCTTTATGGCTTGAGGAAATTGGCCAACGTCAATGGCCTGGGGATCTTATTTATTGGACAAATCGATGCACTTGTGGTGTTGCTTAAGTAAACCGAGAAGATGCCTTAGCAAATATGAAGTTTCCTATTTGTTCAGTTTTCTCAAGAAAAATAGTGTTATGTTCGTAAATTCAATTTAAACCTTTAAGAAAACTAAGAACGAATTGATGAAGAGGAGGGCTTTTAATAAATAAGAAAATTGCAAAGTAGGTTAGCTTACTGAGTATACTGCCTAGTCTTCAGAACATAAATATAATGAGTTTTCTAAGTATTTACCAACAAACTATGTGCAATAAAGAGCATGTACAGTGGAACTGGTGCATTTTGAAGACCAAGGAAACGATGAAATCGAAGTATCCAAAACTTCTAGTACATATTTGTTATAAGTTAAGTAATATTTGTGTCCTTGAAACTGGGAAATCTAGTTAACTGAACAATCCTACTGAAACACATGCATTCTGTAAGCATATTTACTTTATCACTGTCCATTCAGCAAGAGTCCAAGGTATGTAGGTTGTGTTTGGCTTAGATGTCAACCTCTTCGCTTGGTTTTATCAGATTAAGTAATGTTCAAAATTTATCTAGGATAGTATAGCTGGACATAATAGATTACATTACAGTAAACTCTTTCAGTTTAGTTTTAATAACAAGTCGGAGGATTTGATACACAGAATTTGGCAGCAGCAAATTCTTTCATTTTTATTCTGGAAATGGCTAAAAATTTAACATGGTGATGATAAACTACCAACACTCAAAGCTAAAACTCTCAAGAAATAGTTTAGGTTAGGTCGTAACCACTATAGTCTGTACGATGCAACCTATATTTTGACTATCCATCTACCTTGGGCCAATTGTATAAGACCCGGGCCGGTTCCAGGGATACAGATGGTCAGGAGACAGGTTGTATTATACAGACTATAATCGATAGAACTGTATAAAACAATGGTTGGTAACTACTAAACAACGGGAAGACCACAACTGGCATAAAATATAAACCAAATAAAACCAGAAATAAACTAACCTAACCTAACTGCAATTCATAGGTAAACAATCAACCTAGACATTTCTGATGCCTCATTGAAAAGAGGCAGAGGTCCTTGGTAGTAACAAGGCATATTTACATAGTATTTCTCACCTGATTGTTGCTCAGCTGTTGTTCCACAGCCATTGTTGATACCAACAGGAAGTTAAGCCAAACAGCTGCGTTCAGGCTCGGTTTCCGGTTGATCATTTTGTCTCTTCATGTAACCATTTTTTTCACATTTCGCACAAGTGTTCTGAAAACAATGGATTAAATTATTCTTCGTTACATTTTATCAGCTGTAACCCTTAGTTTGTGTTTGGGAAGTTCAGTAGACTTTGTACCAGAGAGATGAGTTTAGATAGGTTTTAACATTCTCAATATGTGTTCTGTTATAGTCTGTATGATGGAATCTGTCCCCTGATTTTTCGTCGGGCCAGGTGAACGGATCAGGAGAAAGGTCTCATTATACAGACTATAATAAAAGTCATAATTAATTTTAACGTTTAAATATTTTGGAGGAGGTTTTCGGCCCGGTATTGTAAAACAAACGTGAGAGTGTTAATTAAACGTCGAAGTTAATTTTAGCTTGCAGAATATTGTTTAAAGTTACCTTTATATGGTTCGAAACTGAACCCAGCTGTTCCTAGTCATTGGGCTCTAAGAATAATGAAACAGCTGATTGTCTAACAAAGCTACACAAATTAACTCACTCAATTCTACAATGATTATAAATTCACCACGTGTTCTTCAGCTTAAAATCCTCACCTTGGTGTTCGTTGCTGTCTTTAAACATAGATTAAAAGAGTATACATACCACTCACTACGTTAAAAGTGTGTACTCCTTCAATCTATGCTGAAAGTAAGGGTGATTATTATTGTAATTTGATTTATGTTAATGTATTGTGAGTACGACATTTTGTAACTATTGACGTTATTCCTACAAAACAGTTTTAAACTGAAAACCACTCAGCAATGAAGGAATTTGATTGCAGCATACAAAGTTAATAAAGCACACAGGCACGTAAAGAAATCTATCCCTTTGGTACAAAAATATTTCTATTCAATAACAGTCAGAATTGTATCGAGCAAATTATAGTATTCGCCTTCAATTATGAATGTCGCTGGTTCGATTCCCAAGTGAGGTAGTTCTGGACCGTATTTGTCATTTCGCTATCAATCAATGCTATCCAACTAAAGGTTGACATAAGTAAACAAAATCCGTCTTTGGACCGTTCCCTTACATAAAATAAAACAATCCCAAAGGCTTATACACACAAAATAAAAGCCCGATGAGTTGCTGTCGACGTTGCTGACTCCGTGGGGTTTGACCAAGATGTCTAGAAGTACAAGTTTGTTGGCGTGCTGTGTTTGACAACTACTAAGGGTGAAAGGTCAGCCCCCGCTGAGTGACCTTACAGAGGTCCTGGATTTAAGATGTCTTTATTTTATCCGTTTCGTGTACGCGTGTATAACTTATACGCGAACATCTCTGTTTGTTTACGATAGTGATGTTCTGTACAAGGTTTACAAGGATTTAATGGATTTATTCAAACTGTCCTGGTTTGGTCGTCGTTTGGTTAGAAAACAGAATTTCTCAATAAAGTTCTTTTGACTTTGAGTAGTGTACGTGTACTTAACATCCTATTGTAAATCTAAGTTTTTTTGAGGTTATTTCACATATTGATATTTGAGTGCGTTAACAGAATACTTTTATTTTAGGATAGTTGTACGGGAAATTGTTAGAATATTAGGTAACAGAAAAATAGTGAAGTATGACCAAAATTTAATTCACTATACGGACCAAAAATATATTTATTTTAATCCTTGTTTTACATCGGTCGTTAAACCTGAGCTTGATGAAAAATGCTTGATATTTTTTTTTTCTTTAAATAGTGTGATGTTTGACTAACCAAAGCTATAAAGAGTACATATAAACTGTTTTAATATTGTTTTCATATAATTTTTGATTATATTTATTCCTAAATGTACGCAATGATGTTTTTAATTTCAATGTCAAAATATAACCACATTTTACTAGATTTGATTAAAAAACAAGACTGAAAATAGAATTCCCAACTGTCAAAAAGTTAATCTGCAAGTCTAAAAATACAATACGAAAAGTGACAGTAAGTGTAGTGAAGTTTAAGAATTGAATTATCTTGTTGTAAATTTATATTTAAAGATGACTGGAATCGTGGGCGAGTCATTGAAAACTCCAACTAATTTCAGATTCAACTCATTGTCAAAGTTCTGGGAAGGCATGTCCTTTGTCTTTGTTGACTACTGGTCTAGAATTTTTGGTTGGATCGTTTGAGCTTTAATCTTATCGAATGGAAATATTGTTCTCATTGTTTTCAACAGTTTAATGTAATAGTATTGTAAACTTAAGTTAGGTTGATATAGTGTAATATAATATAAAATATGAAGGTAATTTTGAATCATCTCAATGCAGAAATATTTTATAACTACATCTAAATTCCTACCCTGAAAAAATATAACATAAACTTAGTAGGGGTCGGAATAAACATTAAGTACTGTTCATTAATTTTAACGAAATTGTTGTTTCCACTAATCAGGAAAATTTGGACCGGCAGGTTGGTAAGGGTTTATTATATAAAATTATGTATTTAGTTTTAATCAATTCAAGGTCCATGGTAAGTCTCCTAACAATAAGGTCCATTACAGTAAATGATGAGTACAAAACATTTCACCATATTCCACTTAACACTTGCAGTTTCCTTGGAATCCCTCCCACAGTCTCATTATTAGGTCATAGTTTACGTGCAAGAGGTGTTATAAACCCTGACAATAATAACTACAATAAAGTCAACTGAAACACCCCTTGCTAAACACCTGAGTCACACTTTGCCTTTTAGGGATAAGCCTTTTACGCGATTTTATAATGAAGTTGATAAGACACAATGTAATTATGACCGTGGAGGAATGTATGTGTTTGACGTAGAAGACACACTCGAATGCTGCACATGACATACTTATAATACCGAAAACAATCGGAGTAGACTTCCATATCTTGTTGCACAAACAACCGAATCAAAATATCGATCGATATATTGAATGAAACAATCGAATAATCGATATTTTCATTCGATTGTTTGTGCCAACAGATAGGGAAGTCTACCCAAAAATCGTTAGAACTATTTTGAAGACAAGTGACACTTAAATTTCAAACTACATTTTATTACGCTCAAGGGCACAGTTAGTAACAACAACGGCGTGTTTTGATAAACGAGCGTTGTAACCTTCTGTGTAACCTTTTTACTGACTAAGATCATAGACAAAAATAATTACTGAGATCAACTGTTTCTTCAACCTGGATCTCATTAAACGTCCAAAGATTTAAGTTAAAGAAATTCAATTACCAAGAAAACATCTGGGTTCTGTTTCTTTCAACTATCAAGAAGCTTTTGGCTTTTCTCTTTTCTTGGCCTTCTGATCACCTGGTGTGCACTTTACTATAATCTATACATAATCAGAAGTGATAAAAAGTTTGAAATATTTCACTCATAAGGTAAAACTAAGTCTAAACTTCATATTGGCTTGCAGGTAACAAATATAAAATGAACTATGTAATATTGTCATTGACTATATAACACTACAAGAAGTGTTATATAGTCAATGATATTGTCCAACAGACTACCTTAATCACCATTGAGCTTATGTCATGTGTGATGCTTGGTGGCAATCCCATTTTATTCAATAGAATAGTTTTAGATTATAATGTGATAGGTAAATTTTAACCAAAGATTTTACATATGTAAACATAACGCGTTATCTTTTTTGTTGCACCAATCAATATTTACTTGCAAATTTTTCACTTCGAAAACATTGGACGTGCATTATACCAAGGGGATTTTAAAGACTAAAAAAATTTAATGTGTATGAGTAAACGTTCTGACACTACACACTGATACACAGACATTTCAAACATTGAAATAATTTCATGAGACGTCCCAACAAATTAAAAGTTAAACAAAGATTTGGATTGTAGAGCCGATAAATCATTTGTGTTTTGAGCGGCAATCGCCAGCCAATGGAGAATGTATAAGATTTATGCCTGAGAGCGCCCAGACACCATTTGTCTCAATAAAAGACGATATAACTCCAGCGTCTAGCAAGTCTACTAGTCAGAGCTTATACATGTACAGCTTGAATAACGGTCTATTAGTCATTATTGTATTGGTTAGGTTAAGTTAGGTATTTTAATATAGGTCGAGTAGATCATTGCGATAGCCGGTGGACCTTTAAAAGTATCAAAACGAATAAAGAATATCTTTCATTTCGCTGTAATTTACAAAGTATATTTATTATTCTATACAATGGTAGATATAAACTGGTTAATAACTGGTCATTACACTAATAATTGTTGTTCAGATAATACCACTAATATGAATGTAATTGTGTTTTTATTAGAATGGATAATAGTTACAATAATATAGGTTAATACTTACAACCTATATTTGGTTCTATAAATTCCTTCATCATTTTCTGCAAAACTATAACCAAGAGAAATATACCCTCACAATGAAAATGTTTCCTTTCTGTTGGAGACCATATTTTTTTACTTGGACATAAAAAAGGATTCCAAATTGGTTTGAAATATAGTATTGGCTTCAGTTACTATACTTAATAAATTGTCTAAAACTACAAACATATTGTATAAAGAAATATAATAAAATAATGAAGAATTGTTTATAATTCTGCGCTTTATAACAATAACGATTTCTCTAGTAAAATGTATTATTACTCAAACAGTAAGTTTTGTTGTTTTTTAGATGGCCGTAAGCTACTATATTCTTTACTATTGAAAAATAAAATATACGATATCTTACAACTTTTTGGGAAATATAAATTCTTTCATTCTTAGACTTTCATTTCGTACTTTACCGTGCATTATCATGGTATTATAGTGTAAAGTATTCTTCACTATATCATGCATAGTTGTGTAGTTCAGATTTTAAATTGTATTTTACTAACAAAGTTAGTTCTTTTTATGCAATAGGTCAAACGATTTTTGGGTAATTAAATTGTTGAGTATCGATCTTTTACGTATTATTTAAGTATACGTATAAGAGTTAGGTGGCGAAGAAAGTTTAGTACCTAATATATACATTTTTTTTATTCTCAATGTATAGAGTGAAAAAATTCAAAAATTGTTTTCATTTCATAACTATGTGGCATAGAGAATACGCAGATTAAGATCTTCAACTGGCGAACAGGCCTTGCTTTCGTGTA